AATCTGGGACAAAAAGCAATGGGATCTTTGGCAAAGGCTGTTACAAATGTACTTCTATGGTTTGGACTCTTTCTGTCTTGTAATCAGTGTTAATAATAGTTGACGAAAAGTGAAGTATTTATGTCTGTGGTGTAGCGGTTAGGTGCTTGCTTGGCTATCACCCTCTGGAGATCCGAATTTGATTCCCAAATAGGGAGTTTATTTTTTATTGAGTATCTTGCTCTTTCTGTTGGGATGTTGCATCCCTCTCTGCCTGGGTTGGCCCTGACAGGCAGGGTTGAAAGCCTGCCCTGAAAGCGATCTAAATTTTATTGATTGGGATGTTAGAAATGCCTATATTAAAAAGAAAAATGAAAAAGTGAAGTTGAACCTTGGTATCATAGATTATTGCTTTTCAAATAAGGCAAAGCATATATGAGAACTCAACAAGCATCCGTTGTGTATTCCTCTATTCTTGGGTGAGTAAATGAGCCTGGGAGATCAGTGACAGTAGGCCCTACTTTCTTTTCTTTCCTTTTACTGGCTCTATCTGTCTATTTGACTTTTTCTGGGTGCTTACTTTATATGTGTATTCTTGTTTCAATGTGTTGTAGAACAAAAACTTTCTGAAAGTGAATTCACAATGCTATTCCTGCTTCCATAATTGATAGTTTTATACATTAACCTTTCTGTTTCACTGTAGTCCTTGTTTCAAAATTGAACTGAATGTTTGTTAGTACTTCATTATTGCTGTAATTATTATTGCAGGTTAAATGTGTTCTCCCTGATCCCATCTATGTTTGGGAAGAAGACAAGAGACACCCTCGCCAAGGTAATATATTTGGTGGTCTTTTTGTGTGCAGAAATATCAGACTGTTTCTTAACTACTAATGCAGATTTTTTAAATTTTCTTCTTTCGTTTCCTCGTGCTGTTTCTCATTTTTCATCTTGCCTTTTTCCTTTCATTTGGTTTTGATGAAAAATGATCTCGTTTCATAGGTACAAAGAATTTATTTATTTTAATATTATATTTATGACTGTTATTTATCGTACATAATTACCTTCCTTTCATTATGTGTAACATTACTGGTGTCTGCTGGTGTTGTGGTTAGGCACTTCGCACACAGGAGACTTGAGTTCGATTCCATGGGGTTGGGGGAAGGGGTGTTTTAGGAAGTATCTTAGTCTCACTGCTAAGCTGGGAAGTTGTAACCTTCTCATTCTTGGCCTGGTGTGTCCTGATAGACGGATTCCAAGCGCTCCTCCCAAATGATCTAAATTGTGTCGATGAGGGCATAAAACATCTCTGTTAGAAAAAGTAAATGTGTTTGAAATACAGTTTTTCCTCTGGTTGTTTCAGGGTAAGGAGGAGAACGTGAGTGGCAACTTTCAAGGCGATGGTTGGCAGAACGGAGGTGCTTTTGTCATTGATCAAGGTAATGACACCGTAATGTGTGTGGGTGGTTCGCGGGTGCTCTGGTGTGGTTTGCTCCTTCTTTCCTATCAAAGACAATGTTCTCTTTGTCACTCCTTCTTTTTCTTTGTTTGTTACTCTTTACTAATATCTTTTAAAATTCGGCACTCATATGATCTATTTGTGTTGAAAGTGCCATAAAACTCTTACTTAAATCGTGAGCAAAAAAAAAAGGATGCGTTGTGTGATTTTTGGTGACAGGAGTCCGACAGCCTTGACCGAGGATGTGCTATTGTCTGGAGGCACTCAGCAGTTGCTACTGATGCCCAGCATGGGCCTTTTGCTTTGCGTTGAAAAGTTAATTAAAGAAATTACTTTTGATATAATTGAATTTAGGTCTCTTGCTTTGTACAATTTGAACCTTGAACTTCGGTTTTGATGAATGCGTGTTGGGGCTTGTGCCTACCTGATTGTTCAGATCCTTGAGCCTAACTACTAGGCCACCGACGCTACATATGGACTGCAGAGACTTCTACCTGATAGTTATAACTGGCTGTTGTTGAAAAATGATTTTGCTTTAAGTTCAGATAAATTTGACGGTACATACGGTATAGTAATATGACTGATTTCGGTTTTTGGCACCTTAATCAGTGATAAAATGTACTGCCAAGGTCGAGGGTCACTGTTTGCTCTGTAGTGAGGTCAAGCTTGTTTACTTGAAACTTTCAACAATTCAAGGTCTGCAGAGGTTGCCAAGAGTCCCAAGAGGGTTGTGGAGTATCAATGCATTAGGTCAGGGCCCCGCTGATGGGGTAGGTGAGGGG